GAGAGGTGCTCCATTTACTGGAAGGTGGCTGTTGTGAGGTGTGCTGGTGTGCAGCATCAGCCCTTCTGTGTGCCTGCCTTTTATGTGAAAGGAGAGCTGTGATTCCAGCCCTGCTGACCCTGTGAACAGCTCTGTGCTGTTCCTGACCTCACTCCAGCAGAGCAGATCCAAGTGCTTTTGGAATAACTGGGTAACTAAAGTCCTGGGCCTGAGACCAGCATGTGGTTTAGTTCCTGCTCTTTCTAACCATGCTTGCTCCTTCATCTGCAATAAATCCATGTAGGAGCTGGGTAGTCCTGTCCTCTCTGTCTCCTGAGTGTCACATGCAGCAATGGTCAGCCCAGGGCAGTCTGATCTATGAGCATGGGAAACAGGCAGAAATCCTCTGCTTCTGCACGGCTTTGTTTAACTTCTCTGGGGTTTTGTTTAGTTCAGTTTTGCTTTTGAAGCACAAAAGGTGCTTGTCCAGCTGGAGAGCTGTTCTGGATGTGCAGGGAGCTCTGTCACTCTTGCTGCTGCCCTTAGCTTGGCCCAACAACCAGATTGTGGGTAGGAGTTGCAGAAGTGAGAACTGGCACGTCTGTGAAGTTGCTCTAAAATAAGATGATTGCTTCACCTGTATCCATCAATCCCTTGTGGAAGGAAAGAGCACCAGGCTTCTCCCAGCAGTCTGACATGCAGTTCATCTCATTTGCTGGTGAGAAATGGGGTCTATCCTTCATCCAGTTTTTCCCTTCCTAATTCGCTGGTCTGCAAGGGTCCTGCTTCTCCCTGGGACCTGCCCCAGCACTCTGGGAGCTGAGGGTGTCCTGAGCCCCTCCAGGCAGGTGAAGAGCAGGGAGGCAGCTGGAATCCTTGGCTCTCTGCAGGGGCACTGCTCAGCTGGGATCTGTTGTGGGTCCACCACTCAGTACCATGCTTTCTGCATGAATCTGATCCTGGGCGATGGAGGTTTGGACTTTGAAACTGGACTGGAAATTTAAGCAGTCAGTGACTCTCCTGTTTTCTTCCCTGCAGGTAGGCAGGAGCCCCCCTTGGCCGAGTGAGGCAGCATGGCAAGTAAGTGCTCCCTAGGCGAGATGGAGAGGTGGCGGTGATGTTGGAGGAGAGAAGGGGGATGTTTGACAGCCACCTCTCAAGAAAGGGGTGCCTCTGCATTTTGTGGGGTGTTATCCTTTGTGGGGAGCAGCTGCCATCGGCTGTTGGCCCTGGGTGAGATCTGGGGTCCGGCCTGACTTGTGCTTCTCTCTCCCCTCTGCAAGGTGGGAGTCGAGAGGAGGTGCTGAAGGTCTGATCTCTCCGGGACTACCCGGAGGCTGCAGCATTTCTGCCTCTGTGTGGTGCAGGACAGGCCTCCCCAGGGCTCTCTGTCTGCACTGACATCTCTCATCCACAGTGCCCCTCATGTCCATGACTGGCACCCTGCTACTGCCCACCCTGGGGGCCACACTGCCTTGTGTGGCCAGTGGCACCGTGGCTCTGTGTTCTGTGGAAGCTGCTGAGCTCAGCCCCATCCTGAGCTCGCTGTGGCACACCCAGAGCAGTGCTGGGCCAGCACTAAAGATGGGCTGAGACTGGCAAGGCTGCACAGAGGGGTGTGTGGTCTGTCCAGAGCCTCCCTCCTCGCTCTCCTGGGCAGCCTGCACGGAGGCTCCGTGCCCTGGTGTGATGGGAGCGTAAGGAGAACAGCAGTAATGAAGGGGGAGATGGAGAGATCTGTCTGGCATCTTGGGATTTGCTCGGAGTGTCACCAGAGCCAGCTGTGAAGGTGGAGGCAGGAGCCACGCTGGGGAGGAGGAGGACCCAGGGATGACAGGTATGCCTTCCTTCATCATCTGTGCTGTGCTTGGTGCGGGAGGGAGCAGAGAACTTCAGGCAGTGTTTTTAAAAGGCTGCTTTAAATCTTCAGTTAATAAGGAGGGTGCCCAGCTGGGTCCCTGCCTTTCTCCACTG